CCCCAAAACCCCAAAACCCCAAAACCCCACCTATGAATATTTCGTAGATATATAATAAAAGATTTTGTCTGAAAAAATGAGATATCCCTGTGTTATTACTTTCCATCAAGTTTTCATCTCAAAATATCACTATTCTCAAATCAGGAAAGGTTATACTTATTTGATATCAAATCAGATTCTAAAACATTATTCAACCTCTAAACATCCTTATCTACCTCCTAAAATAGCTTTTACACAATCTTTGTTATTAATAAATTATTCGTTGCTTTGTTTTAAGTCTACCTCTTCTTCTATTTCTGGATGAATATCTTTCAGAACGTGTTCATTCAGATTATCATAATCTTGCGTTTCATTGTTTTTCAAATCATCAAGATTATACACAATACTCGACATATTCCCAAAATCTGAAATCCGAGATGGCTCCTTGGAGCCATCTCGGATGTTCTGATTGTTGATTATGGAGTATCTTTGAGAGCCGTAGATAGGAAGTAAGTCAGAAACTCTACTCTGAGCCTCTTGGGAAGCCTCCCAGTGGCACTTATACTCTTCTACTTGCTTCTGAAGTTTTTCGACTAGTCTTACAAGCTTCTCATTGGTAAATTCCTTACTGTCTATTTCACTTGTGAGTCTTATAATTTTCTTCTTCTGAGCTCCGATCTTTCTTTGCAAATCAATATTTTCTTCCTGAATTGTCCCTATTTGGGTCTCAAGTTTCTTCTGATATTCTTCAGGGAAGGAATCAGCAAGAATCTTATATTTCTTTAGATCGATGAACCTCTCAGTCTTTATCGTGTGATCTTGAGTGAGGTCAAAGCCATCTGCAAATTCTCTTGGGTTATTGAAATACCTGAAAAATTTAGTGTTTTTAGATTTTAATTGGGAGAAGTCAAGTTTTGGGATGCTAATATTACTGTTCTCCCTCGTATCCTGTGTGTATCCAACAGACTCGCCTCTATCACACTTAGGTTCAGAGCTGAGGGTTTTAGTGTATCTTTCTAGCTCCTCAATTTTGTCATATGACTCTTTAAGCTGCTTCTTGAGTATTGAGTTTTCTTCTACAACAGAGGTGATCCTCTTCTTGTTAAGATTAGGATTAACTTTAATTAGCATCAGTTGTTCTTTAAGGAAGGGATCATTTCTTCCTAAAGTTCGAAGGAACCTTTCTATGTCAACTAATCTTTGTTCTAGAAATTGGAGGTTGTACTCCTTTCTCTCGTTTTGGTCGATAAGTCTAGAAATCTCCATCTCGTGGTCGATCTGGATCTCCTTGATCTTCGAGTCTTGCTCGTTGTTGAGTTGCTTACAGAGTAAGATCTCGTCTTTCAGGGCTGTACGGTCTTTGACAAGTCTATTGTTCCTGATGAACAATGATTCATTCTCTTCCTTCATTAATTTCAAAGTTTTGGTAGTATTTTCAGGGTCAAGCAGAGAATTTATGATGTTTTTATTGATTTTAAGTGTTGTTTCAAGATCTAGTAAGTCAGATTGGAGGTCCTTTATTTCCTTCTTGAGGTAATCAACCTTGATGAGGTTCCGATCGAGTCTAGCATCGCCCCCACGGTTGGTATAGCAATGAGCTTCAGAGATTTCGGTTAGTAACATATTTATTTCAATTGGGTGTAAAATTGAAGGGGTTTTGGGGTTTTGGGGTTTTGGGGTTTTGGGG